TCGCGCGGTTTGTCAACCGCGGTTTTAAAACCGCGGTTAACCGCAATTTTCAGCGGTTTAAAACCGCGAAAAAACCGCTCCTCCCCGCGGTTAACCGCAAAAAAACCGCAATCCGATGGACTACCGGATTTCCGATTAAGTTCCACTATTTCGTGTGTCTGGATGGTGGCAGAGGCCCAATTACCAATTACCTGCGATCAGGCCTCAGCGAGAGTCGAGCTCTGCAAAATCGCTTTTCAATCAGGTCGGCTAGGCCTCAATCGCCTATGATGCCGCCCTCGGCCAGGGAATCGCCTTTCGCATGGAACGTCTTCCGATCATTCTCCGCCCTCGCCCCAGATGGAACGCCAAGGAATGCGTCCATTCAAAGCTGCATTGTTATGATGATCTGTTGGTTCTTGATTCTTGAGCCGTTCCAGACGGGAACCCCATGGTTCGGGAAGAAAGCCAGTACTCGTGCCTTTAGTAGATCCGGTACATAATTTAAAACTGTATGGCTGACTTCCGAGTAGTTAAAGGGGCGAAGAGCTGGGTTTGGAGATGGTACAGGAAAGCATCCGACCGTGCTCAGTGCTCTCAGTGCCTGAAGGTTAGTTACCAGATGGAAGGAAGAATCTATGTGATCGTCGTAAAACTTACATCCGACGATAATGCCTCCGCTCTATTGGGGTCTCTGTACCTCACAGCAGCCGATTAGATTGTGTTCCCGGCTACTTTCCATGAGTCTTGTCCGTTTGTTTCCCCTATCATGTGCAACCGGGAAAACTGCTCCAGTGTCCTGTTTCGCGAGGGCTCGCAAGTGTCTGTGATATCGTGTGGAAAATGATTGAGTGTTTCGGGGTGAATGGGTGAGTGTCTCGTGTGAATTGCGGAAGCTCCACCTGCCTTCAGTCGATCTTAGAATGTTTCCGAATCGAGAGAACATATTATTGCGAGAAAAGCTACATTCATTCCTCTGGGAAATTCGGATCGCAGGAGCTGAAAAACGTCAGAAATACAAGCTCGCTCATCGACCACCTCAGCAGGAAACACGAGATTTCTAAGGACAGCCCGGGCTGGAGTTCGTCGGTCTCCGGACAGAATGTGAGCGAGTCGACGCTAGAGATAGCGGAGGAAGAGGCCCCTCCCGAATCCGAACTGGACGCTCACCAGGTCGTCCCGGTGGCCAAGAGAAGGAAGACGCAGCTTCGAATCGATTCGTTCGTCGTCGCAAGGCGGACTATTCGGAGTGAGATCGTTTCGCTGATCTGCGAGTCGAACCTCAGTATGAACCAGGTCATCACTTCTGGTGCGGTGAATAGATCACTCACTCGCGCGTATCCAAATGATCCGCCCCCGCCGAAGTCCCATTCCTCGCTGAGGGTCCTGCTTTCGGAAGAGGCAACTCGAGTCCGGAATGATTTGATGACCACGCTCCAACAGATCCGGGAGAAAGGTACAGGCTCTCCTCTCGAATATTATCAAGGCTGGTGTGTCTGCCGCAATGTTGTCTCATGAAGATATGCTCGAAGTCATACGCTGTTTTTTGCAGGAATGAAGTTTTCCATGTCCTTCGACGAAGCCACGTTGATAGGAACCGACCGATATCTCACAGTGAACCTCCATCACTCGGATAAAATCTTCGGATGTTCAAATATAACTCCCCTGGGCCTGATACGAGTAAAGGAGAGGGCTACAGGAGAATATCTGAGAGACGTTATCTGCCACCGGCTAAGCTCATTCGAATTGTCAAGGAACGATATCGTAGCAGCAGTCACCGATGGCGCCTCCAACGTGCTCAAGGCAGTAGACCTTATTGGAGTTCATCGGCAGAAGTGCTTTGCTCATGGATTGGATCTGGTAATACGAAAAGCTGTCTACGGAGCTCAAGCTGCAGCATTCGATGTGGCGATCCTCACGGACGGAGATGACCGAAGTATTTCTCGAGTCGATAGCGGCGACGATTCTCCTGAAGATAGCGACAGGAGCGATGCGGAGGACACGGGAAATTCCGATGACGACGACGAACGTGTCGAGACGTTGAACTCAGTGACGCTCGGTGAAGCACTCCGCCGTCTTCGCGCTGTCGCGCGCGATTTCCGGAGGAAAACCGCCATGATGGATGAAGTCCGGAAGATCACGGAGAGGGATGAATACAATGGCAGGTCGTTGTGTGTCAAGATAGATTGTAAAACGAGATGGTACTCCACACTGGAAATGATCGAGCGTGCCATCGAGATTCTGCCAGCAATCAACAACGTCCTATCCCGCTACGGAACGCCCCTGAGCCCGAGTGAAGCTGTGGCTTTGGAAAGGATCAGGAACATCTTGTCACCATTCAAACGAGCCATTCTAGCCTTGTGCAAAAACGAAGCCACCTTGTTTCACGCGGACAGAGTCTTCTCGCTATTGATGAAGGATCTCGATGAGATGAATGTTGAGCTATCTCGAATCCTCCTTGAGAGTTTGAAAGGGGAGATCAGAAAAAGACGGACAATTCACTCTAGCATTCTGGCTGTATTGGAGAATTACGAATATGACTTCAGCCTCGAACTCGAAGTTGGACAAGAGCGTCTTTCCGACGATGAAATTTTGGACAATCTGGCGGATATTCTCGATGCGCGGGAATTTGTCGAGGATGAGTCATCCTCCCTCGAGATGCTCAGCCAAGCTCCGGTTCGTATGCTTGTTGCGCATCGAAAGAAAGCATTGCGCCATGTCGCTGAGACATTTCCTCATCCAAGCTCATTCTATTGCAGACAGTTAGCTGGGATTCAATATTCAACGAGACATCAGCTTCCTCTGATAGCGCCGGGGCGAGCTCAAGCGGTAGAGCTCCATCTGGTAGAGTTCAGTTGAACCGCGAATTTAGTTTCTTCAAATCCGGAGGTGGTCGCGGACCGCTCTTGAACACTTGCTTGGAGAGCTTAAGAGCCATTCCACCTACATCGGTGCAAGCAGAGAGGGACTTTAGTACGGTCCGTCATCTGCTGGGCGAGAATCGAGCCAGACTTAAATCAACGACCCTGAACGATATTTTCATAATCCGGAAGGCGCTTCAAAACCAAGTCTTGTGATACTATGACGTTATGTATATACCAACTCGCCGCCGATATACGTGATATCGTGATATGTGAAAATAAACGCCATTCAAATGACGGGATATAAGTGTTCCTAATTTGCGGTTAATAACCGCAAAAGACCGCGGTTGCGGTTTTTTTGCTACTCGGGTCACCGCAACCGCGGTTTTCAGGATTTGCGGTTTTTCGCGAAGCCTAGCTCTGACTCACTTGTGGCCGGATGGAATCGAGCATGAACGAGTGCTGGTGACAGATGCCGCCGCGTACATGAAGAAAGCGGGAAAAGCCCTGAAGGTGATCTTTCCGAAAATGCTACATGTCACCTGCGCTGCCCACGCGCTCCATCGCGTGGCAGAAGAGATACGAGTCATATTCCCGGACATTGACAGACTAGTGGCCAACGGGAAGAAAATTTTCAACAAGGCAGCCTCGAGAATATCCGTTTTCCGGGAATCCTTGCCAGCAGTTCCGTTACCTCCCCAGCCGATCATCACAAGATGGGGGACGTGGATTAACGCAGCCTGTTACTATGCTCATTATTTTGATGAATTCGCAGCAGTCGTCAATAAGTTCGACACAGATGATGCGGCAAGCATAGGAGCGGTCAAGGCATTGCTCCAGAAGCCCTCCGTAAAGCGCGATCTGGCGTACCCCTTGGCGAATTTCGGTCGGCTGCCGGATTGCATCACTTAGCTGGAGGAAAAGACCAAACTTCTGACAGAGGCGGTTGATATATTCACCGGAGCGCTCGAGAAACTTCGAGCTACCCCCCCCCTTCTGGCGATCGAATCAAACGGAAGTGCGATTTAGTTGAACAGAAGAACCCCGACTTCGCAGGAATTCGGTCAATCGCGGACGTTCTGCGGGGAAGGCGGTTAGCTCAAGGCTTGGGCCCTTATACTCCGTCAGAACTCGCGTGTTTCCGCTTCGCGCCGATAACGTCCACTGATGTAGAAAGTAGCTTCTCGACTCTGAAATACACCTTGAGTGATCGACGGCAATGCCTGACATTCGATAATCTGAAGATGATGCTTGTCATATACTGCAGTTCGCATCTCGAATGATGCTTGTCGGGCACTCCTCGAATAAATATCTATATAAATAAATATCTATATAAAATAGTTTATCCTTCTTCTCTCGCGTTGCTTTTCATCCTAGTTCCTGCACTCAGATCCGAATCGCAAGCTCCGTTAGCATCATTGTAGTAGGAATCAGTCCAAACGACGTATTCACGACGAGGTAGTCTCCCTACGATTCGAATGATCGAATGGGAGTTTATCGAGCTTATCGTGCCTCCTCACGTTCCTCCCCCCTGATGATTAAATTGCTGATTCTGCTATTTCTGAGCGCTTATTCTGCTTATTTTGAGAGCTTATCTTGCTAATTTTCAGCGCTTATTCTGCTTATTTTCAGCGCTTATTTTGCTAATTTTCAGCGCTTATTTTGCTTATTCATTAATGCTTGAGTCCACGGGCTCTAGTGATTGCACTGTCGCACCAAAGTCTCGACATCAGAGTTCAGGTACCATCTCAGAAGCCAGAATCGCGAAAGCCAGAATTGTGAGAGCCAGAATGGCGAAAGCCAGAATTGTGAGAGTCAGAAGTTGTGAAAGGCTGAATCCGTGAAAGCCCGAATTCGTGAAAGCCCGAATTATGATAGCCCGAATTGCTTTTTTTTTCATTCATTACATAGGGATGAGTATGGGCATGGAACCCGCAAGCCCTACCGGGCCGCATTTTTAGCTAGACATAACATGAATTCGAAGTTTACGTTTAAATTCACGGTAGTTGGTAATTCCCCGGAGATCAGCAGGGAGATCATTCCATACATTAGAAATTTGGTATTTGGGCGACGCTCTGGAGGACGAATGAACTACTCGAGCTACCCTGAGACGAAAGTTTCTAGACGATCTGAGGGAGTCGACGAACTCCGAGATACACGACTTGGGAACGGACGCAGGGAAGTAGATCGACAAGAAGGCTAGGCAAGCTACATATGCGATAGGCGCAAACTTGACGAGCATCGAAAAATGAGAGTGACTTGAGCAGAAGGGAGACCGACGAACGAGGTGGCAGTCCGTAGATAGCTCTAGTTGCGCTATTCTGGCCGACCTGGATAGACCGGAGGGCAGCAGAGGACGGGGACAGACCCCAGACAGAACAGCAATACGAAATAGAGCTACCTATGATAGCTCTGTAAACCGATAAGAGGGTAGGGCAGGGAAGGCCCAGACGTCTTAGCCTATGTAGACAGAAGGCATAGGACAAGAGTCTCCGACGTGACTGAATGGAATACTTCTGCCACGAAAGATTTGCCTCAAGGACCAAACCGAGGCAAGTGACCGAGTGGGAGAGAGGAAGGGTAACGCCGTTCAGAACAACCGACCCCTCCAGAAGAGAGGCAGTGTGAGGACGCTGATGAAAATGTACAAGCTTGGTTTTGGCAGCATTGATAGATGGACGAAGGGAGCAGTAAGAGTCGAAAACCTCCGAAAGACAGGCGTTGACCAAGGGTAGGTCCTCATTTAGTTTTCTAGGATCAATCTGCATAAGCACTGTAGTATCATCAGCAAAGGCTATAGCTCTGACTCTCTCGGATGAGTTGGCCTTGAGGAGAATATCATTGACATAGAGAACGAAAAGAAAGGGGCCCAAAACAGAACCCTGCGGAACTCCACAGTTGACGACAAAAGGATCCGACATAGCTCCTTTCAACTGAGAGTGTTTTTCGTATGGCGGTGTCACCTCGTATGCTCCATGAGCGGAGGAGGCATTCCAAACGGTAGACATCAACCTCAGATTTTTGGAAGAGCTCGATTATATAGTTGTGGTAGGTGTTTGCGGCTGCCCGGGATAGAGTTTCGTTAGGCAAATCGTAGGCATATTCAAGAGGTAGGTAAGAAACCAACGTTGATGAATCATAGATGGGTAATCGTTGGTTAATGTGAAATGAGGGGCTCACGATTCATTGGTCAGCAATGACGTGCAAAGGGCTGCTAGGAATTGATGAATCGTTATCGTCCGTGGGGAAGTTCTGAGTTCAGAGTCACCCTTTATAGCTAGGAATTATTCGGAATACACTCAAGTCAGATGAATGATCATTAGACGGACTTTCGCACATCAAAAGTATCTTCCTACTTCATTGCAAGTCGTATGATAGAAGAAGGAATGATTCAGCGATGGTATGGATTATGTATGTTGTACATGCATACATATGAGGCATGAGAGATCCAATCCTCACAGTTCACAGTCCATCTCTGAGCATCGACTGTGTGCTTTGCGCACCTGCGGAATCTTTCGAGAATCGAAGAGCGCTCGAGAACCCCGGAGGCTAGTACAATGGCGGAGCCGGGCGCATCAACTTCAGCGGTCGGCTGGCAGTATGAGCCAGATCTCGCGACACGATGCTGTGTTTTACGCTTTTGGGTCAAGAAGTTCAAAACGATCAAGGCACCGAGCATCGCTTTCGTTCTCCAACAACATCGTGCTGTGAAATCGATGACTGTTGTGCCCGTAACCTCTAAAATTAGAGCACAGACGATGGAGCTCAAGATAAGGAAAAAATCAACTCATGGACGACGGATGGTTCTAATCGCTGTCGATTTGAAAGAAGTCAACGGTTCGTTCACTGAAGAATCATTCCATAGAGACGTTTGGAACAGGCAGGAAAAATACCGTGCCTGTGTCATGTGCACAGGGTTGATGTTCATTTTCAATACCGTGAAGTTGGATATCGGTCTCGCGGATCTAGAACTATCCCTCCCAGAGCTTGAGCACGATATCGAGAACGCGGAATAAACTGAGTCTGAGTAGAGAGTTCGAGGTTCCAGTAATTTTCGACTGAGGGAGTTGTATCAGAGAGGGCTCGCATCGCGATCGCATCCATTGGCGAAATTGTGATGGCTTCACAGATTCGAGAAGCATGGCGTCGTAATCGAAATAATTTGTGAGGTCACATTCGAGGCTGTTGTCTCGGGCATACAGGAAGTTCTCGATTATCGGATCACGACTTCCAATTCCAAACTCCTAGGAGCAAGCTTCGTTGTTAGACGTACAAAACAGGATGGTTGAAACGTTCGTTTCCAAAAAAATCGTAATTCAGAGCGAGAGATACATCTTTTCGGACTATGGAAGATGGCTGACGATGGCGAAGGCGGAGGCGGGAACGAACATCAAAGAGGAACTTTGAACTATCATGTCCTATGTTTGCTAATCTCTGTTACCCTCTCGGCTGGGAGAATGGAGGGGCCATCGCCTGTCCTCGCGACTTCGATAATCGCCTCTCTGAATCCTCTCAAAGTCATTACGCTATCCCCGCACCTCGTGAATCCATTTTAGAAGGAATTTGTCCGTGGAAAGCGATTGTTTGAATGGAGTTCTAGTTCAGATATGAAGTTAGGTTATAGGGACATGAGAGCATTGAAGAGTGGGGAGATCGAATATATCGGGACGAAGTGAAGCCGACTCGGATGGAAGTGACCGAGGTATACGGATACATCGGAAGAGAGGCTCGAGAGATTCTTGCTCCTTAAGAAGCTGATAGATTACTTGAAAACTTCATCGTAGACGATATTACGCATGCGATTTTCCGGAGAGGAGATGACCACGCCGCTGCGGCTTCTTGCTCGGGACAATGCAACATAAAGCTGTCCGTGAGAGAAAATCATGTCGCTCAGATCAATCCCGACCCGCGAGAAAGATTGACCCTGTGATTTGTTAATGGTCATAGAAAAACTGAGGCGGATTGGGAATTGTCTGCGGCGGAGTCGGAATGGCAGCGTATGATGAGAATGGTAGCAATCGATGCGAGGTAGAATCACAGAAGAGTCCTTTTTCGGCCCTGTGGCGAATTTGCAAACGATTATTCGTTGGTGAAGTTCGGTAACGATGAGTCGCGTACCATTGCAGAGACCGTTCCGCACATTCAAATTCCTTAGCAGCATGACGATACTTCCAGCCTTTAGATGAAGCTCATGTGGAGGGAGAGTGGTTGGAGTAAGTCGGTTCAAGAACTCAGTAGGGAAATTCAGGGCGTCGCTGGGGTCGTCAATCATCGCCTCGTCTTCGCTCAGATATGTTCTTCTGAGGCCAGGAAGTTTATCGAGAATGTATTCGTTGAGTTTGCGAGCTGTCGCATTGAGAGGAGTGAGGATGGTAACTTCAGTGAAGTCTATATCGTGATTCTGGTCAGAAATTCCCTCGAAGATGTCGTCGGCCAAGTTCCCTCGGCATCGCATATCGACTGGAACCGGCATATCGGGGGGTGAGCGTCCATCGCCTATGTCCAGTAGCCATTCACGGAAGGATAAGTCGTCACCTCGGGCACGCATGTTTTGTCGTAGTTGGAACGGTTGGAAAAGTCGCCATAAAGGGCTGCTTTTCAAGCAAGCATCCACAATCTGAGCACGTGAGCCTCTCTCTACAACGGGCAAAATTTGGCGGAAGTCTCCGCCGAGAATCAGAATCTTGCCTCCAAACACCTCCGTGCTCTGCATTATGTCCTGGAGTAATTGGTCGACAGATTCGAGAGCTGTTCTCGGGGCCATCGCTGCTTCGTCCCAGATGATGATGTCGACGGAGCGGAGCGCCTGAGCTTCTTTCGATTGACGTTTCATGTTGGATGACTTGCTGTTGTCGTGGACATTCAAACGGAACGTTGAAGTTACTGTTCGACCGTCGGGCAGAAGATTCGCAGCAATTCCTGTCCAAGCTACATTCATGACGGTCAAACCGTTGGCTGTCGCCAAGTGATAGATGGTTGTGTAAACGAAAGTTTTGCCGCTCCCAGCAGGACCGTCGATGAAATAACACTGACCTCGTGGAGACTCAGAGCGCGCAGTATGTCATCGACACTACCCTCTGCTCTGGATTCAGGAGAGCGTAGTTGATATCCCCCTGAGTGCGATGAGATTGCAGATCGACGGGAATGGTCACGTCGTCGAAACGGGAAGATCAACAGGGAGGCTTAGGCGATAATCTTTTCCGAAGTCCGATAAGCGTTGTGCTATGTCGTAGAAGGCTTTTGATTCCGCGACTTGTTCAGTCAGTCCTGCATGAAGATAATCTTCCATGAAATGAAGTTTGAATTCGTGCCAAAGCTCCAGCGAGCGAGGTGGATGGAGTTCGGCAAACATTATCAGGGCCACGAAGAACCCCCTCAATTGTGAAGGCATGCTGAGACCGGCAGCTTCTTGCAGGCTACTTCTGAAGAACGAATCGTCTTGCAAATAACCATTGGCTCTGGCGGCTTCGACGAAGGTTGGGTGAAGGACGCCGCCGACAGTTCGTACATCGAGGAAGGATGTGAAGCCAGTGCCGTACAACAGAAGAAGACGTAGAGCGAAACGCTCGTGATCTTGCGGGCTCACAAAGTACATGCGTCCGATTGTACGATCTCCTGCGCGTTTACGCGGATGCCAACATTGATGTCTGAAAGTGTACTTTTCGGGCATCTCGTTGTAGCGAAATCGGCGGGAATCGAGTAGGTTGGCAGGAAAGGTTCCTTGGTCATTCTCAATGTCTTGACACCTTTTGTTCTCCTTGAAAAAAGCTGTCAAGGTTGACAGCCTATTCACGGCATCTTGGAGTGCTTGTCCTTCGGAGCCTGGCTCAAACCGGACGGTTTCGAAACCTGGGAGGTGAACCTGCAGTCTCATCACACAGTCGCTTCGATCACTCATAGAGAAGCCGAGTATCCGATGCGCTGCTTCTGGTGCGCACACATAACGTGTGTCCCACTAAGAATTGATTTCGTCGTGAGGTCCTTGATCGGTGGCACTATTCAGACGGATCCGCGCTCTATCAGGACCTTTATATACGTATTTGAACAGGTATTTGATAGCATGTATGAGGGCGCAAACCTCGACATTAATGTGAGCGTTGTAGAGCAATGAGAGGTAGGGTAAGTAAGGTACCACAGACCGGTTGTCCATCTCCTGGCCTTGACAAACAATCTTTCGTCCGTCCTGTCGGCGTCGATATTCCGGATAGCCTGTGGTGTATATCGAGGTGTCGTTCCGAAAGGCTTTGGGATAATGCTTCGAGCACATCACATTGACCATACAGGGAGAACTTGGGTTAGCTCTACCACATGGACGATGGATCATGCAAGAAGAAATGATATTGTGGAGCACAGGAGATTCGTGAGGATCAGGAAATTCCGCGCTTATGATTGAATCGACATCGGCACCTGTACGAAGCTTGAAATCATTTTCCAGAGTGAGCAACATGTGCATGTGCGGGAGCCCACGCTTCTGGAATTCGATGACATAGATGAAGGCCGCGACGGAACCGAATACCTGTTTCTTAATCACCTCATGGCATAGGCTCTTCACTTTTAAGTTGAACACCCGGGCTATCAGATCGGGTCTATCCGAGGCGCGTTGGCCCGGACAGAGGTTGTTCTCGATCTCGGGCCGCTTCGGGTTGCAGGTGAACGTTATGAATAAATCGGGTTTACCGTATCTGGCAACAATGCTCATTGCATCCTGGTATTGAGCAATCATGTATCGAGGACTGCCGGTGAACGACGCAGCCAAAATCACTCGGCGGCCTGGCGGGCCGTCGTTGACGTTGTCACTCAGCATGTAATCTTCTAGACCTTGAACGGTATCGAGCCGAAGTTGACGTTGGTTTTGTCGTATGTAGTTGATGCGGTTCATCTCGATTTTCAACCAACTATCGACAATAAATTGCTGGAATAATTTTCCGGCGTGGTGTAGGGGGTTGAAGAAGGTATCTCTTGTAAACAGAAGATAGGAGTAATATTCCTTCTGAGTTAGGCGGGTCCGGCCAGTCGGATTGGCATTGTGCTTATTCAAGAGAGGATGCCACCCTTCTCCTCCCGACGGGAACAGCAGCGGATAAGTCAGAGGATCGCACAACTTGTCGAGATAACTAATAACGCGTAAATTGCCCGTGGTTTCGTGCACCACCAAGAGCCGATTTCCTGGTATATCCTCCTCATCCCCGACGTAAACGATAGCGACCTCGTTCGCTGTCGCTATGTTGTAGCGTCGCTGATCATCTTTCGGATCC